CCCCGGCTGCGTTTTAGGTGTTTTACAAGGATTAGTTTGCCCGTGTTTGAATCCTCACTTGTACCATGAGGCCTTGCCGCAGAGGAACTGATGACCCCCGGCTGTTTTTTTTTTTTTTGTTGGCCCTTTTTGAATCATAACTTCTTCAATCATCATTGGGGGGGCTGCCGCCCCCCCCAACCCCCCCGCTATTTGTTGGACTTTTTGCCCCTAATTGAATCATCACTTTTTCGATTATCATGCGACCGCTCCTTTTTAGATTCTTTGCCCTTAATTTTTTGATCATCATGGGGGGGGCTGCCGCCCCCCCCCAACCCCCCCGCTATTTTTTAGACTTTTTGCCCCTGATTGAATCATCACTTTTTCGATCTACAGGGATTAGTTTGCCCGTATTTGAATCCTCACTTGTACCAAGAGGCCTTGCCGTAGTGGCCCGCTGCTTTTTTTTAAAAAATATTTTTTTGGCCCTAACTACGTTTTAGGTGTTTTACAGGGATTAGTTTGCCCGTATTTGAATCCTCACTTTTACCATGAGATGCGGGAAGGAAGCCAATTTGCTGGTGATGCTGGGGATGTTGGCTGGACATGCGGGGGATGTTGAAAACGATGCTGATGATGTTGACGGACTAGCGTAAAATAGAGAAAATGCTGTAAATTACAGCATTTTAGTAGCCAGGACGGAAAACAAAAAAAATCCCAAAATAAAACAAAAAAATCTCAAATTAAATCTCGACCCAATTATAAGTGCAGTGACTCTTTTTAGACGACCGAGAGTTGGGCAAAGTATGGAAAAGCTCCTAAAAGGTCGTGTAAGGTTTCTCTTGGAAACTTGTGCTGGGTTGGGGCGCAAGGGGACCCATTTCTGGCAGGCGAACAATTTGGCGCCGGGGGACGCCGTGACTTTCGAGGTGGAACTGAATGCGCAGGGCCGGCCTCAGGCGCGGAACGTCATCAAGATCGTCCCGGCCATGTTGGGCATCCATAAGGATAAGATCGAGGACGCCTGGGCCGCTGCCGAGGCGGAGAGAGAGACAGAGGAGGAGACTTGTCCGATCTTGATAGATCTTGAGACTTGTTCTTTGGTTGGCCCATTGGCCTGAGAAAAAGCCACTGCTCATTGAAAAAGCACGCTTTGTTTTGCTGGTTTCTTCTGCCCGACACATTTCACGATTTTCGGGGGCAAGACCAAGGAGACAGATCCGATTGAAGACGCCTGGGCAATGGCTGAAGCGAGCCTGCAGGAAGAGACCCAGGAAGTTCAGGCGAGTCACGCGAAATCCGAGGCGCCGAAGGACGAAAGCACGACGCGGCTCAGTGCCCCTTTCCTCCTGGTCGGTCGACCCCAAGCAGAGTTTGTCGGGAATCGGGAATGTGTCGGAGTCTTTTTTGCACCCGCCCGGCAGGTTTGGGTGTGTTTTTAAGTCACGTCCCTCACGTCCGCCAATTGTCGTTTCGCTTTTAAAATGTGCCTGCTGCCCTTCTCCCGAAAAGGATCTGTTCTCGAAATCGCCTTCCCATGGTTTCGGACTGAAGGAAACTCTCCGCGCCGGCGAGTCGTTCAGGTGGATGACTCTGAAGCCAAGTTCTTGGGTGTGAACACGGCCGTTGTCAGCGGCGCCCAGGAAGCGGAGAGGAACGGGGGGGGGACTCGCACTGCAAAACCTGAGCGAGATTTCGTGGAATCTGACTTTGGGTTGGTTTAGGGCGGGCGGTTCAGGGTTGATTTAAGGTTGGTTTAGGCGAGTGAAGGCTTTAGGTCACCGGATCAGCTTCCAGTTGTTCGTTCTGCCGAAGACACCATGAAGCTAAACGGGGCCTCTTGTTTGAAATGAAGATAAGAGGAAGGCAAGTGCCTCCAGGTTTAAAATGGTTTAACCCTTTCCTGGCAAACAGCCTCCCGTGGTGAAGCTTCCTGTCTCGGGGCTCGCGTTTTCAGGTTGGCCCAGAGCCCTTGTTCGAGTCTATTTCCGAGAGGCTCAGTACCAGTTGTGTCTTTTTCAAAGCAGAACCACAGGACACATCTTGCCCCCATGGTCAAACCACTGGTTTTAAAGTAGCCCCCGAGCCCCCCCTTCCAACCCCCCCCCCCCCAGGCCACCCCCCCCCCCCCGACCTCTCGACCGCTCGACCGCTCGACCTCGCCGTGGCTGTTGGAGGAACAAGCGGCGGCTGGAGGAGGAGCTGGCGGACGCGAAAGCGCTGGCGGATCAGAAGGAGTACGCCCGGAAGTCCACGATGCTGGCGCGCTTTACCACCATCGTGGTCGCTGGGATCGGGGGCTTGGGATCGGGTGCGGTGTGGTTGATGTTGGGTTCCCAAAGTTTTGCTGGGTTTGGTTATTAGTTGTTTGGTGTTGGGTGGTGTGGTATGATTTTCTTTGGCTTTGTTTTCTGGGTTTGATCTTGGTTGGTTTGGTTGGCTGCTTTGGTTTGTTTTGCTTAGTTTGGCTGGAAGGCTGGTTGGTTGGCCCACCCACCCCGCTTTGATTCATATACTCAAGCTTCCATGGAAAACTGCAAACATGTGCACACGTGGGAATTTGGAGCATGCATCAAAGCAAGGTTTAATTTCCTCTCAAAGCCAGCCCCGAAAAGGCTCAGCTCGTTCTGAGACACCTTCTCATTTGTCCATAAATTGGGGAACACCTTCCCCAATGGTTGGGCGGACATGGGTGTGATGTCCGGCAAAGGATCCAGTGGCACTAAATATTGAAAGTTATTTGGGTTTTCTGGAGAACCGGTGGAGTGATTTTGTGGGTACCTTCGACAAAAAAGCACAAGGAGTAGCCCTGGAACCTGCCTTCCCGTCAGCCACCTGCAAGGCACCTGCCACCCACCCCGATTTTTTTGGCTAAGACCCCAGCCGCTGAACTTGTTTCCCTTTTTCCTAGATGGTTCTCAGTACGGAATCAACAGGGGTTTTAGGACGGAACCAAATCCCCCGTGAAATATAATGTCGGGGTCATTCCCTCCTTCCCTGAGAACCAGCAAGTGGTGGTGTCTTGTGTGTACCACTAATTTGGTGGTTCTAAACGGAAACCAACCAGGAAAACCCATCGTTTTCCAAGTCCCCTGAAAAGAATTGGCTCACTTCCTGAGTTCCTAACAACTTCTGTGGACCATTTTCGTTGCAAACAAGAAGTTCCTGGACTTTTTTGGGCCCATCCGCTCAAGTGGGAAAGACGCACCCCAGTTTCCCCGGCCGAGCTGACGAGCCGAGGACACCATGGAGCAGCTGCGCACGGTGGCGCAGGAGGCCTCTGATGCCCGGCAGCTGGCCTCGCAGTACGCGCCCAACGACGAGATGCACGAGCTGGCGCTGGAGGAGTGTCTTCCCCCGATTTTTTTTGCCGCTTTAACTAGGTCCCCCAGCGAGGTGCAATTGTTCGCTTTTTTTTTTAAACAAAAGACATGATAATAAATAAAATAGACTACAGAATGTTTCAGGGTATTTTCCACTTCAATTGTTTCCAGGGATCCTTCCTGTCTAGGAAGCCTCCGGAGAACCAGGGAAATCGGTCGGTTTTTGGAAAGAACGATGGTTGAAAAGAATGGGGAATCAACCCCTAGAGCTTCAAGTAACTCGCTTGCCCAAAGCGAATCGACCTTGTGACCTTTCGGTTCCTCCTTTTTGGTCCATTTTGGGTGTCTGCAAAGGGTGAACCTTTTATTTCTGGGTCCCTTGGGCAAGTGCGGCAAGTGAGTAAAAGGCAGAGCTAGACAGACATCACCTTTTGGTTGCCATGTTTGGACGAGTGTGGCCGTGCGCAACCGTTCGCATCTTGGCCTGCAGGGGTTCCGTCCGTGTCTTGCGTTATATGCAACTTGAGAGGTTCTGGCTGTAAGTGGCAAAGCCGAGATCCATGGGGGGCGTTCTGAATGAGCCCTGCAATGTTGACCCCAGATAAATAAATCCTGTTTATTAATATGGCATATGGGGTTGTACCGGGTTTTAGTGGGGGGAATTATCACTTTTGGAGGCTTTATGAAAAAGGGTGTTCCCCTCCAAAAGTGATGTTCCCCACTAAAACCAGGGGCACCGCCCAAAAACTGGGGTTGAAGATTCTGGTGTCCCCATGCTCGCGCCACTTCGCAGGAGGCCAGGGAGTTGCGTGAGAAGCAGGAGGAGATCGCCGAGAGGCTCCAGAAGGACCCATGGATTTGGCGGATTGGATCGGCCAGGTGGAGCGGAAAAAAAAGGGAACCCGAGCAAGCGTGGAAATGCACAGGATCGGCTTCCAAAGAAACCTTTGCAAGCCCCATGTTTGGTGAGAGGGTAGCTATGTTTGGTGAGTTTGGCGGCATGAGACTTGCAATCGGGAGAATCCGAAATTTCTGGCTTTATGCCTTCGACCCAACATGGGATTTGCAGCATAGAGCTGGTCGGTGACTGACCCGGGACCCGCCTGGCCACAACCAGGTCCCATCCCAAGTGAAAGTTGGGTACCGGGTTACCACGTTCTGTGATACCCCGCACATCTCTTAAAAGTTACAAAGCCTGGGGGATAGTTCCACCCAGCGGGTCTTCGAGGACCCACCTGTCAAGCCGAGTTGGATCCCTATTTGGAGAGCAGATCGCAAGTATGTTGGACCCACTTTGATTTGGACATTTTTGGGGGGAGCCCCCTTTTGGACCCCCTGTTTTGCCTTTTCTTGGACCCCCGTTTTGTTTGGACCCTTTTGTTGGGCCTGCTATTGGCCTCCCCTGGCCATCCAACCGGGGCCGAGCCTCCGAGCCTCCGAGCCTCCGAGCCTCCTCTTGAGGAGATGCTGACCCCGGACGAGCGGGACCAAGCCACCTCCGTGCTGGTGGAGATCCGGCCTGGGGTGGGCGGGGACGAGGCCTGCCTTTGGGCGGAGGACTTGTCCAACATGCGCCCTGGAGAGCGAGCGAGAGAGGGTCGGGGCGGGGGCGGGGGTGGGAGGAGGGCCGGGAATCTATTTTCAGCGGGGGTTTGGAGAAACTTGTTTTTGTTGAGCCGAGTTCGGCGACCTATCACAGGCGGCACTTAGCTTTGTGGAGTTTCTAAGACGAATTCCAGTCCCAAGCCACCACGTTGAGGGTACAGCCACTAGAGGTTTGTTCCTTCCATTCTGCGGTCGAACGCCGCTTGCGCCGAAGGTACCAGAAGTACTGCTCCATGGAGGGCCTGAGGTGCAAGTTCCTGTCCTACTCTCGGAAGGAGGGCGGTGGCCTGCAGGACTGAGAACCTCTAATTCAAATCAACCAATATGGGCCTATAATATGGGTGTGTCCTTTTTTTACAGAGCCCCCCCCAGAAAAAAAGGTGGCTATTCTTTTGGAGTTTCCCCGTAAAACCACAAAAACTGGTACCTCAAGAAAGACGAGCCACCTATGTTGGTTTCGGGTGACCAAATTGGTTCCCCTCAACTCGGGGTCTTAGGAGCCCCTGGATTTGCACCACCTTCTTCGGGAAGCGAGCAAACATCCAGGTTCGGTTCACGTTGCGAATGATGGGTTAGGTGACTGGGCTGGCTGAGATGATAGAGGTGGTTGGGATGGTTGAGATGGTTGGGAGGATTTACATGAATGAGCAAGTTGAGAGGGATTCAGTTGAAAATGGCTGTGGTGATGGCATTGAAAGGGCGGGGGACGATCCGGCGAACAACTGGAACAGTTCAACAAGAACACAGGCACAGTGCATGTTTCCGCAATAATATGAGCAAGCAACCCATCTTTCATGATGAACCGCGCGCCTTTTTCTCTTCTTCAAAGGAACCTAATTACTGCTTTTGCGGTTTTGTTTTCCTTTTGTTTCTGGGTGCTAGATTGCCCTCAGCATTATTTGTTATTTTCCCGCTCACAGAAGCCAGAATGGGACGTATTTAAAATGTCATTGTGTCCAAATTCCAATTTGACATCCAGTTTGGGCTGCAGGCTTTTGATTTGTTCAAGACACATCCCTCATACCTCCCCTCAACGTCTTTTTTGACCGTGAGGAGGCCACGCTCAACGTCCAGGGCGAGGGCGCGTGGATGAAGCTGAAGTACGAGAGCGGCGTCCACCGCGTCCAGCGAGTGCCCTCCACGGAGAAGATGGGCCGAGTCCACACCTCCACCGCCACCGTGGCCATTATGCCGGAGGCGCAAGCGATGTGAGACGCGGGGCACCCGGCTTTTGGGGGAAAACCAGTCCCCCCTGTTTGGTGGAGATGTCTGGAGAGAAATGGGTGGTGAAAAAAGACGCCTTTTGGCTTTTGTCACTCATGGGTTTCCTTTTCGTCATCCGAAAGAGGTACGGAGCCCTACAAAGCTAACATTTGCTGGGCCCGGGGATGGCATTGGTCAAGAAAACAGACAAACCATGCCAGTTCGCAAGGAATGTCTTGCTGCGATGTGCCCGGGTTGCGAAGGTCAAAGACGACATATTTGCAACCCACAGATTGGGTTGCACTTTGGGTTCTATGTTGGGAAGCCTAATGAATATCATACAATTATTTGGGGTGCCCCCCCTCCTTTGCGTTTGACAGGCGCACCAACAAGCTTCTAGTTGCTTGCAATTTGCTTGCTAATAGCAAACTATTAGCGCGGAGTGGAAGTACTGCTAGTAACACGCTAATAGCAAGCTATTTGTCATTTGCTTCTAGTAGCACGCTCACACCGCAAAATGGGCCCCCACAGTTTTGGCCTGTATACTGTGTAGCACAGCCATGCAGCGAAGAGGAGCTTAAAAAGTCTGAAGGGAGGCATGTTCGAAACATATACCACGCCGCTCTTCTGCACCCAAACTAACTTGTGTGTTTGGCCTTTGGCTTTCCATTCCGAATAGAAACGAGCATTGCCGGCGCAGGTGGGCCACAGGAGGCTGAGGGGTGAGCCTCAAGCCGGCGCATTGACAAACCACCCAGTTGGCACTATTAGGCAGCTATTAGCTTGCTACTAGCAAGCTAATAGGGGGGGCACCCCCCTTGTACACGGGAGGGTGCGCAGTTTTTCTTCAAAACGGTAGATGAACCCTTCTTGAATCGCGTAGAAATGGTTTTAGTGGCCGTGCGCTTCGTTCTTCACTTTTGGTGAAATATGCAAAGACGAGTGAGACTGGCCCCCCAATGAAATGCGGTTCCTGTCCTTTAGGCCGGGCAAATTGAAAATCAAGCAAAGTGCTTCCCGTTTGACTACAGGTTTTTCCCGTTGTTTCCAAACTGAGAGTGGGAAACGCAGAATCCCTGGCTCTGGGGCCGGGAGGGGGGCACCCCCTGATCAACCAGTTGCCAACTGGGCGTGGGTTTTGTCCACTGGTGGAGGCGTTTCACCTGAGGTGTCATATGATTTTCTTGGAGTTGGAGGCGCAATCGGCTGGTTGACCAAACCCATCGGTTCCTTTCAAGCAACCATTCCAAGGCGTCCCCCAATTTCGGAGACATCCGCAAAGAGATGGGCCTTGGCTGGATTTGTTGGGAGACTTTGAAACGACCTGGCCTCCCTGCGGTGCCCTTTTTCCAACTCCGAAGCGGCGGGTCCGGGTCCGAACTCGGCCTTTGCGAGGCTTCCGTGGTTTCCGTCGCCAGGTGGAAGAGACCTCCGCCGTGGACGAGGAGAACATCGAGAAGGAGACGTGGGAGTGATCAGGCGTCGGTCGTTGCAGAAACCGGGATGTGCGGAGGCAATACTCAATACCCCGAGTTGCGAAAAGGGGTCCCGTGTGTAGTTAGTGGCTTCCCAATACGCCACTCCAGCCTGATCAGGTCAAATGGTTGATTGTCTCAGCAAAAGTGTCCGGATGGCGCCTGTTGGTTGTGGGCGTTCTCTTTTCAAGGAGTCCCCAGAGCTGATTTCTCGGGCAAAACAGCGACCTCACCCGAGGATTTGGTCGAGAACTCGCGGGAATGGCCATATCTTGTCTTCAAATGGGCTGGACGCCCTGACCTGGCTGTTCGTTTGGTTCCCTCCAGCCCACGACAGGGACATCAAAAAAGACAGGCCCATGTCAACCTCTGGAACCAACAATTCCACTGGCTGGATTTGAAGGGACGTAGATCTTTTTGACCTCTTGGATCCATATTACTATTGGCATACGGGAATGCATCAAAATGGATCCCATTCGACGGACCGTTCTCAAAGCACTTGAGGGCCAGTTTTGAGAGCCATATGTAGCGATCTCATAAAATACGCCTTTCTGGGGCATTTGAAGTGAGTAGCTCGGGCATGTTTCCGGCCAGCACGTGGACCACTTGTACTTGTGATGCTCGAAAGACATATCGGGGTCAGAGGGGCGAGAAAAGGAAACGAGGGCTGCCCATGTTCTGGTTGGCACCTTCACAAGGGTATTACGTCCTTTTGTCAAGCTTGGTTTAGATTGATGTGGGATGACCCTTTCCCAGCCACATTGGGTGCTTGCATCGCACTGTTGGAAGGTTCACCAACAACTCCCAGACGCAGCGGCCGCTCATAAATGGTGGGTTGCTGACATATCTTGAGCCCGGGACCGCAGGTTTAGTCCATGTTTCAATTTACCAGGGTTCTGCTTTGGGTCCCTATTTTTGACCCACAGCCAGATGAGTTTCTTAAGCTTTCTTCTTCAAGCGCTCCAGGAGATCAAGTACTCCTTCTGTCGCTCGGGCGGCAAGGGAGGCCAGAATGTGAACAAGGTGGAGACCGCCGTGCACGCCACCCACCAGCCCACCGGCATCCACTTCTTTGTGACGCAGGAGAGAGAAGTGGCTTCTGGGCCATGAGGAATGTCCATATACACATATGGAAGTTAACATAATCTGCGCACGCTCATTGTACAACTGTCATCAAAGTACATGTGCCCAAGATGATTGCGCGCAAACGTTGGTGGTGCTGTTTTGTAATTGCTGTATCTGTCCGCCTTAAAAGCAGGAAAAGCTCGTTTTTGTTGGGACAAACAGAGGCAATTCGCAAGCCTCCTCGACTAATCAGAGACGCCTGCTTGAAGTGGCTTGACCACCCCACTTGAGTGGAAACCTACAGCAATCGAGCTCATGAGCATGCGAAGTGACCCTGGAAGAGAAATCATGAAGGACAGTCGCTGCGGTGGGCTGGAGCGTGTCGAAATTTGAACCAACTGCTGTAGCACACCCCTGCTGACAGCCTTTGGGAAAAAGGCGGTCCCAACCCCCAACCTTGAATTATCCTGGCCCCCAAAGGATAAGTCAGGGTGGCTGGCTTCTTTTTTTGGTCTGCAATGCAATGCACGTATCGCAGAGTAAAAACGGAACAAAGGGGTTGAGGACAAACGGGAACTAGGGCCAAAGGTGTTCCAACCCAATGGCTTCTGACCAAAACAAAAGACCCACGAGCGGTCTGTCCTTGGAACAGGTCGTTGAGAGCCACAAGCCACAAGCCAACCGTCGAAGCCTCTCAACCTCGAGGTGTGACGTGACATGAGACATTGATGTGGGTCCTTTTGTGGACTTTGTGTGCAATGCAGACCAACTATTTACTGGGTATGTAAAGGGTGTCTAGTGTATTGAAGGGAAATAAGGACATATCTTGTGCAACGAGCCTTTCTCAAAAGACAAACAAACAAAGCATACAGGTCAAACAGTGGGGGGGGGCCGGCGGGAGGCGGGGCGGCCGTGCCGACGGTGCCAGGAGCGTTCCCAGCTGCAGAACCGCGCCATCGCGGTGAAGCTCATCGTGTCAAAGCTGAAGGCTTCCCCGACCGAAGGGGTGGGTTCTTAGGGTCTTAGGCGCTATCCCCAAAACATGGGTGTGGTGGGTCAAAATTAAAACACCAGAAAAACACAGGTTGCAGTCCGCGTAAATCCAACCAACCAGGGTTCCGTTTTGGGTACATATTGTTTTTGACCCACAGCCACATGGTGTGGTGGACTTTTAGGCGCCCATGTCTGATGTTCACCAAAAAGGGCCCTCAAGAATAGTTCATACCCAAAAAGCTTTGCTTCGATCCCTGGTTGAGGATTGGAAAGTCTCTCAGAACCCTCTGGGTGGGTGGGTGGGGTGGGTGGGCCCATCTCGTTCCTCCAATGGTTTCAACGTTTGAGCCATCAAGGGGTTGAATCGCCCAACCCAGGGAAGTGCAGTAGTGGCAGTGGTCTCAGCCTGTCTGCGAAGGCCCCCAACAATACATCACACCCAAAAGGTCGCCCAACCACTTGTCAGTACAGTGGTCTAAAGCTGTGAGTTTTACCATGGCTTCGTTCAGTTGGTGGTTAAACTTGGTACCTATGAGTTTGTCCAATGAGCGATTTGAATATGTGGCTTTTCTGGCTTTTCTAAGGGTATTGTACGCAAAGCCTGATTTCTTTTGCTCACCAGCTCCTTCTTTCAGTTAGTGTGTCGCCATCGCCGCAATGAGGGGGTCACCATGAAAACCAAGCACTTGGGTGGGATTTTGACGGATTAGTAAACCATAGTAAACCAGTCCTACTAATCGTGTGTGTGTGTGTTCGGGGTTCCCAGTGGCCCACTCCATGGATTCAAAAGAGCGCTCGGGATTCCTGCCCAACTCAGGAAATTCCAGGCTAACGCCTCGAACCTCCGAACCTTCGAGGTTTATCCGGAGGAGGGGAGCCTTACTTGCGGGAATGAGTTGGAAAGCCTCCAGGTCTGGTTTTGGTTTTCTTGGGATCCCCGTCCGGTTCATTCTCACCCGGACTCATTAAGTCATTCCCTGGGTAAAAACTAAAAACCACCAGAAAAGACCGCAGGTTTTTAGTGGGCGTTTCCATTTAGGGCAACCCATTTGGAGCACCGATGTTTGACCCGCAGCCCACCTACATAGGTGTCCTTTTTGGTTGTTTTGGTCGAAAAGTAGATGGCCCTGGCTTACCTGGTGGTTTAATCATCTACCAGGGCCATCTATTTGCCCCACAAAAAACACCAACGGCCACCTATCGCAGCTCCGTGCAGGCGATGGAGCAGGAGGCCGCGCAGGCGGAGGAGGCGGAGATGCGGGCCTCGCAGATCGGGTCCGGGGGCCGCAGCGAGAAGAGCCGGTCCTATAACTTCAAGGAGAGCAAGGGGCAAGGGGAAGGTGGTTGGTGCGGTTTGTGTTTAGGGAAGGTGGCGAAGTAGTTGTTAGGTAGTGGCTAGTTGGTGGCTACTTGTTGGTTCGTGGTTAGTGGCTAGTTGGTGGCTAGTTGGTGGCTAGTTGGTGGCTAGTTGGTGGCTAGTTGTTAGCTGTTAGTTAGTGGTTGTTAATGGTTCACCATAGCTCCTGGAATTGATCGCCCCATTGAAGGGAATTGAAGGGAACTGAAATCAAAGGGACCCACATATTCAGTTTCTGGACTTTCAAAGTTTGGTAAGATCCTTTTAGTGGTAGTCAAAAAAAGAGGAAAGGTAAGGGGATGGGAAGAGGAAGGGAAAGGGAAAGGGAAAGGAAAGGGAAGGGAACTGAAATCAAGCTGTCCTTCATTTGTTTATTCTAGAGTGCAATGTTCGAAAACAAAAGTCACGCAAACTAGGGATTTATGGGGTCAGGGGTTTTCTACGACATGGACAAGTACATGTCTAATCTTTTCCCTGGGTACGAAACAGATAAAAATGCAATAAACCAGGGGGGCTCTGCGGGTCATACTAGGGCATTCACCTCCAATATTCTTGGAAATCTTCTGTTGGTTTGCGGAGGACATGGACAATCCCGATTCCCCACAACCCCCCGAATAAAAATCGGCCCCGATATTCCCAGCGGGAACAAGCAAGATCGGGGCTATGGACATGTACATTCAAGCCTTCGCTGTAGGGACGCTGCTCAGAGTGCGGGGTGCAGGAGAACCGCGTCACTGACCACCGCCTGAACCAGAACTTCCCCTTGTCCCAGTTGCTAGAAGGCAGGACCCATTTTGGATGGTTGGTTCACTTCTAGAAAGGAGGGTTTCTACACTTCGGGATTCCTCATTTTTGCAGACATACATACGTACATACATCGATCCATAGATGGATAGATGGATAGATAGATATATACGATACAGACATACAGAAACACAGACACACAAACATACAGACACAGACCCACATACACATTTAGGTGTTTACATGTTGAGGAACATTTACATGTACATTGCAATACAATTCAGTACAATGCAATGCGATGCAGTACAATACATTCATTACGTACATACGTACATACATACCTACACACACATGCACAAACATATACATACACACACAATCGTACACCCAGAAATTCATACACCCATGCACACATGCACACATGCACACATGCACACATACACATGCACACACACACACACACACCCACACACGTACGCACGCACGCACGCATGCACGCATGCATGCATTCGTGCATACATGCACACATACATGCACACATACACAGTCAAATACTCATACACACTTGCTTACTTGCATACATGCATACATACATGCATACATACATACATACATACATACATACATACGGTGATACATTCATGCATTCCTACATAGCTACATAGTGTTCATACATAGCAAACATACCTACATGCATAAACCACTCACACTTACTTACTTGCTTACTTATTTGCTTACTTACTTACTTGATTGCATACATACACACTTACTTGATTGCATACATACACACATACATACGTACATACTTACATACATACATACATGCATGCATGCATACATACATACATGCATACACACATAGGTACATACATACATGCATACATGTATGCATACATACATACATGCATACATACATACACACATAGCGTTCATGCATAGCTTTCATCCATAGCATACATGGTGACATGCACACATTCATACATACACACACCGCACACATACATACATACATACATAGATACATACATACATACATACAGACACATACAGACACATACAGACACATACATACACACATACATACATACATACAGACACACAGACATACATACATACATACATACACACATACACACATACATACATACATACATACATACATACATACATACATACATACATACATACATACATACATACATACATACATACTACGTACGCACACGCGTGCGTATGTGCATACATACATACATACATACATGCATAGCTTACATATCAACATTGCATACATAGCATTAGCGTTAGCATTAGGATTAGCACTAGCACTGGCACTAGCACTAGCATTGGTATTCATACATACATGCGTACATACATACATACATGCGTACGTACGTACGTACATACATACATACACACATACACACACATACATACATACATACATACAGACACATACATACACACACACATACATACATACATACATACATACATACATACATACATACATACATACATACATACACACATACACACATACACACATACACACATACACACATACACACATACATACATACATACATACATACATACATACATACAACGTACGTACACGCGTGCGTATGTGCATACATACATACATACATACATACATGCATAGCTTACATATCAACATTGCATACATAGCATTAGCGTTAGCACTAGGATTAGCACTAGCACTGGCACTAGCACTAGCATTGGTATTCATACATACATGCGTACATACATACATACGTACGTACGTACGTACATACATACATACATAGTTACTTACTTGCTTACATACATACATACATGCACACACGCCTACATACACACATACATACATGCTCACACGCATACATACACACACACACATACATGCCATAAATGACATACATGACATGCATGACATACATAGCATACACCAGATACATGGCATACATGGCATACATAGCATACTGTACCATACTGTACCATACTGTACCATACTGTACCATACTGCACCATGCATTGCCATACATTGCCATGCCATGCCATGCCATGCCATGCCACGCCATGCATGCATACGTGCAGAAAGACAGACAGGCAGACAGAGACACAGACAGAGACACAGACAGACAGAGACAGAGACAGAGACAGTGACAGGGACAGAGACAGAGACAGAGACAGAGACAGAGACAGAGACAGAGACAGACAGACGGAGACACACACAGGCATACAGGCAGACAGAGACACAGACAGAGGCAGACAGAGACACAGACAGACAGACAGAGACAGAGACAGAGACACAGACAGAGACACAGACAGAGACACAGACAGAGACAGAGACACAGACAGACAGACAGACGGAGACACACACACACACACAGACATATATGTATGTACATATATACCGCGCATTATACGTAAGCACATACATACATCCCCACATACTTGCATGCACGTAGACACGCCAATACAGTACATTGCATGATTATGTTCATGTTCATTACATGTTTCCTTGACATTACACTACACTACATCACATGTCATGTGCAGTAGAGATTTCGGTGCATTAGATTTACATTACATTTAGATGTCATGTTGTTTGCATTTACAATGTATTTACATTAGATCTATATTACATTTACAATCCATGTCATTTACGTTGGATGTACACGACATTCACGCTACATTGCAATGGCATTGCATTTACTTCACATCCACATTAATTGTACATCACATCTACATTATTTGTACATTCCATTACATGTGAGCTACATATGCATTACACTCGCAATCGATTTGCATGACAATACATTGCATCACATTGCACAGCATTGCATTGCATTGCACAGGCAGGCGTGCGTGCGCGAATGTGATTGTGAAGTTGATTAGGCGACACTTGGCTCAGGCAACCTCCAGGAGGCCGTGCGGCTCATGGCTCTGCAGGACGAGCGCCAGAGGCTCGAAGCCTTCGAGCGGAACGTGCAGAACCAGAAGCTGCCGGCCTGAAGTAGCCGCCGCTTCGGGCAGGGCGTGGAGTGCCAGGCCCCCGGTGTAGTTCGTCATGATATCCCTTCTTGCCATTTGTTTGCATAAAAAAGGAGTGGGACCAGTCAGCTGTCACAGGTTCTAAGAAATTGAGCACCTTCTCAAGCATGGCAGTGGGAATTTCAGTGATCCAAACCAAACACATGGCTGCCTTCCAGGTGTTGAGCCTTGGCAGGAAGGGGATGTCGCGTTTTCTTTGTTTTTGTTTTCACCAGGCTTCGCGGCCTAGATTCTTTGCGCATTGGGCTGTGCGAGCTCAGTTTTCAGCGCAACTCGACCGAGACAACCCCCGGTGCGCGGAGAAAGACCGACTCCGGAAGTTGCCGCCTCGCCCCCAAATCCCCAAAGTCAAGAGGAAAGCATGGCGAAGTCGCCCCTGAGCGAGGAACACGCCCAGACCCGTCCAACCCGGATTGTTTTCCCTCCAGACATCCTTGGGAGGCAAAGGTCTCAGATTGCCCCACCGTTTGGGTCCGGAGCCGAGCCAAACTCGTTTGTTTGCTTTGGGAATCAGACATGTTCAGGCAGTTTCGTACTTTTAGGGTCATCTCTGCCAGCGCGATTGCACAGACGGGGGCCCAAGATTCGCACTGCGAGGCAGAGCACATCTTCGGCGTCTGACGGAGAGATGGTTTCCAGTGGCAGAGTGCCGGTTCAACGGGGATTCGCCAGATCATCACCCTAGGTGCCATGGTAGAAACGCTTTTGGGGAAGCCGGGGATAGTCATCAACCCCTTGGTAATTGAGGGAGGGACTGATCTCTGAAAGATGGCCCCAAGTCCTACCTGCCGCAGCCCCTCCTACCTGCCCTTCCTGGCAAGCTTCCTTTCATTCCATTCTGACAGGCTTTGCCTCTTTGGAAAGAGATGCAGCTGTTTCGGCCCAGCGAACTCGGCCCCAGCGAACCCAGCGACGATTTCTTCGTCTGGGAAGGGACTCGCGCTTTTTTGTTTTTTTTGCATTCCTTCCGTATATTTTTGCAGAGGGTACATTGACTGGGCCAATGGACGGCCGCAGCCTGGCGGTTTTGTCGTCTCACCGTCTCACCAGATTTGAAGCGCTGGCCGGAAAGCTGCGGCGGCCAGTGGCGACCGCAGCTGCCAGATGCATCCGTTCTTTGTTTTTCCTTGTTCTTGTGCTCTTTTGTTTTCTTTTTTTTGGGGATAATCGGGGTCCCCATTTTAGCATGGTTTCAACAGAAAGGCAAGGGGAAACCACCTGCTTTTGGGCTTGCCCATGAGACAAAGCCAAACTCTCCGCAACAGCCAGGAGAGCTTTGCATGTCCGATGTGGTTGTGAAATCACGCCCAAAGCGACGCATCACGACGAAGGTACCAAAATGGCGTGCCGCGCTCATGCAGGACCTTTGCATATGACTGGACAGTGCCCAGGCGATGTTGACCTTACGGGCTCGCTGACAAGAGGAGCGGCCAAGGTGTGCCGTTCTTTCACATGGCTCTGGGAGAACATGCGGGTCACCTCATTCCAAATGGCGGGGTTGGTTTGAGCCATTCAACAAGCAACGAGCCGCTGAGAGACTAGGTTTCTTCTAGGACCTGCACATCTCCGCAATCTGGCAGTGTATACTGGTCTTATGTTTCCGACAAGTTGTGAAAGTCGGAGACTCGGTCAGGCTGAAACGAGGCGGGGTCCGCATAAAGAGTCAACCCAAACCCAGAAATCCAGCGTTGGCCCTTTTATGCTGTTTTTAGACAACACTTGCAGGGCCCAATTGAAGCAAGATTCCTTTGGGGGAAGGGGGGGGGGCGAAACGGGTGCCAACAAACAGGTTCCAGCGTGAATCACATGACTCACATGACATGCGCGCAGTATCCTAGAATATTTATGAGAATTCCATTAAATGTCACCCAACGAGGGAACTATGTGTATCAAACTAGGCAACCGCATTTGAGGTATTGCGAGGCAAGTTTGTTTGGTCAGAGCACGCCTTCGGAATGGGTTGATCCTTGGAGACGGCACCATCCTGACTCGCCTAAGGATGGTTTCAGGAACAGAGACGACGCAGGCAGGGGGTGGCATTGCTTTCTTTCCTTTAGGTCTTTCTGTTTTCTTTCTTTGTTTGTTTATTATGTTTGTTTGCTTGATTCTTGGTAGTTCGACAAATTTAGGCAATGTGGTCAGGAAATGCAGCCATCCTTCCCGATTACAATCTGGCCCGCCAGCATGCACTGTGCCCCTTCCACTTCTTTACCTGCCCTCTTTTCAGCCTGGTCTCATAGTCTCAAGTGCAGGAAAGCCCAAACCCAACAAGCCTCAAAACAGGCCCGAAGCGCCAACCCACGGCAAAGCTTCGCAACCAGGCCAACCATTTTGGCCCTTCTCGCCTGGTTGGGCGAGGTGATGCTTTCAGTTTGGGGGAACATGTGGGAACACTTATAAGTTGAGGCGAAGGGGTTTGCGAACGTTTAGGATTCACAGAGTTTTTCGCACCCAAAAAATCATGGTTGCTTGATGCTTTGAATTGCACCCGCAAGAAATCTGTCTGTTGGCACCTTTTCAAGACTGGAAGATGTCTTGGCTATGGCCGTTGTTCTCATTGGAAGATGGGTGATCGATGGGCCACATGGATCCCCCAAGTTTTAACGGTTTCTTCGGTTTCCCTTCAAAACCAAACAAAAGGGGTTCCCAAGCAAGTTTCAAATAAGTGTCCCTGAAAATGAGGGACCTCCCGAGTGGAGTTCACCTCTACTTCCCTTGGGCAATCGGCCAAGAATGCCCCCCCCCCAAAATATTTTTCTTTTTCAGAACCATCCGAATGGGGATGCGGCACGGGATGCGTCAAAACTCAAGAACCTTTTGAGGCTGATCAACGCCAGCAGCAAAAACTGGAGGGGTTTGATTGGGGATGCGTCCGAGCGCTGTTGTCCAGCAGCTAATGGGAAGTCAATTACTTGGGCTGGCCTTTTATAGCCGGCCTCTTCTGGAGTTCCATGAAGATCTGTGCCACTGCCAGCGGTACTTGCCAACGAGGGCTATGGTCCAGGGGTCTGGCTTTCCGTTTGCTTTCCATTCAACCTGACAAGGGATCCTCCAAAGACGACAGGCCCAATTTGCAAAATATGAACCCCGGGGTCCTTTGTCCTTTTGCCGCCTCGTGCCGCCAATCCCCCCACCCCCCCAAAGGCAGCAGAAGGTTCTGCGGATTCTCCAAATCGGTAGGAAGGGCATCACAGACCCCACCTTCGGGCGCCGGGTGGTCTACGACTCCGAGCGCCTTGTGCAGTCCTGGGAGGCGAATTCGGAACTTGGAACCAAGGACCAACCATCCCACTGCCAATATATTATAAAGATGTGTGTATATTATGTGTATATATATATAAACATACAACTGTACACATGTGTTTGTGTGTGATTTGGAGGGTACTCTTTGAAGGTAGGGCAGGTAGGTTTTAAGAGACAAAAAGAAAGGCACCCATTTTGGGGGTACCCTTTGTTGACAAGTACCCAATGGCTTGGAGGTTGGTACACTGGCATCATTTGTTGAAATTGCTTTACCGTTTAAGATTCACCAAATATGGACCAGAAAACAGACTAGTTTTGGGGGGGGGCATTGGCAAAGGGAAGGTAGCAAAATTCTAGACGCCTACAAGGCCTTCGTGCTAAGATGGCCGCGGTAGTTGAAACGGGTATGCATGGCCTGAGCGGAGCGCTGTCAGCAGTCCCCCCCAGTAATAGGTGCGCCCGCCCGTTTGATTCTGTACGTGAATCTGGGCAGACCCCTTTAGCAGGTGTTGATTGTGACTCGCTTATGTTAGGTTTGTTCGGATTCTTGCGAATTGGTTGCCTAAGCAGCCAAGCTTGGAAGGCGGCGCTGCTTGGACTGTTAATTGAATGGGTGAAGTTGACCCCGATGGGACTCATCTTTTTTCTTGTGTGTCCGTAGCCGCGAGCGTGGGCTTGAGAGTTTAATGGACTGCGCTGCATCGGTTTTGTACAAGGGGTGATTAAGCTTGTGCAGAATGGCAGGGATGTTGTTCAGGGATGTGCTTATTCATGGGCATTTGTCACTTGTGTGGTGTCAGTTTTAATTGTCGATTTGCCTAGGTTCCAATGCCTCGGATCCCGGAGCCAGTGACGGTATGGACGCGGAGAGTTCAATCAAGAGGGAATCGCAGGGTTCTCTCCTTCTCTCTCTCTCTCTCTCTCTTGCAGATTGACATGGGGCCCACAAGGAACTTATTTGTGGAAGACTATTTTGTGGCGGACCTCTTTGGTAAAGGCCAAACAGATAGACCCCCACCAGTTTGTGGGGTTGTGTAGAAGGGAAACCCAAAAAGGGAACCAACTTCGCGGTGATTTTAAGAGACATGAGAAGCTCCCCGCCCCCGCATTTAATTCCTGCCGGTTGGGTTCAAAGCGAAACCAGAAGGAACTCCATTCATTTTGGGGACGCCCAACACTTGTTGGATGTTTGGCCCCCAAGAACCAACCCAGTTTGGGATTGTCGCAAAATCGCCCCCCCCCCCATTGTTTGGCTGTTTCCTCTTGGTTTCCCTTCACTGAGCCTCTCAAAAAGGGACCCCCCCACCCAGTTTGCCCCAACATGTGTTGGTTCTTTGGTCCCCCAACCCCCCCCCCCCCGCTCTCAAGCTGTGATTGTTTGGTCCCCAACCCCTCCCGGACTCCCCCCACTCAAAATTCGATTTGCTTTTCTTGGGGAAAGACTCGCGCCCAAACCCGGGGCGCCTTGGCAGAACTTCCTGGACTCCCTGGGCTTCCCGAAGGCTTCGCCCATCCGGCAGCATGCCGCTGGGCCCATGCCGAGAGTGCCGAAGGAACGGTCGGGGTGGCGGATTGATCCCAAGAAAGGCGGGATGAGGGGATTTGATGTGGGGGGGGGGTGGGATGAGGAGATTTGCCCTTTGATTAGGATTAATCAGAGGTTTTGTGCGGAATGCATGAATCCTGTGCACACTTGTCCATGCGCAGACTCTACTAGTCACGGTGAAAATAGCGTTTGGGTGTGAAACCTCAGATTTATCAGCAACCCGGCAGAACATCATATTCTTGATCTGCATGCTGATCGGAGCGAAAACGCGCGTGAAAGAAGAACTCGAGCTGAGTATAGCGCGCACTTGGCCGCCAATCATGGCTTGGTGCTTAGCCAAAGCCGTAGACTTTAGAGCTAAGGGGGCCAACGAACCAGCTAAAAGCTCCGACTTGGAGTAAGACCTGCTGAAAGGAAGGACTTCATCTCAAAGGTGCCTCGCTGTCGTGTTGTTCCTGGCAAATCCGGCAAACACAGGGCTACTCACCAGCTCAAGGTGTTACCCCGGGTTTGGTGGCTGCAACATATGACTGTGCCTCTCAATGTGAAGTTCCTTTCGATTTCCTCTTTAAACCACCTCAAAAGAGGGCTCTCCCGAAAAAGAAAACACCAATCTTCAGACCCGCTGGCCGGTTCGGGCCGCAGTTGTCTCAGGTGCGTCAGCTCTTCAGCCGCGAGGATCTGGATGAGCAATTTCAAGGCGGGTAGGTCGACGTCCAACCGCTTTGGAGCCCCTAAACTTCCCTAAGTCAATAGATGCCAATATATAGGGGCTGGGAAAACAGGATTCCTAGCTGCAAAGGGTTGTGGGCTGGTTCTAGCGCAGAATGGAGCCAAGGCTCTTGCCGAGTATTACTCCGAGAATTAACTAACCCCTTCCCCCTAAGAATCCCCCCCCCCTTAAATTAACAAAAATCCACCCGGCAAACAGCCTTTATTATTAGGGGTCCCTGGTTCTGCCCTCGAGGAAGGAACCGTGCTCCCGGAGCTCCGGCTCGAAAGTCGTAACTCTGTAGTACGACCGTAGTAAAGGAAACGTACTCCTGGGTCCCCCTAATAGGGCTGGATTTGAGTACAGGCAGGAAAATGCCTACCTTAGAATTGGTTTGGTATTGGCTGTTCTAAAAGTAGTATTCCCGGATTTGGGACTTCCGAAACAAATCTTTATTATTAGGGATACCTGTATTCATAGGTGGAAGAGATTATTGGGTTGTATGCAAAAAAGTAGGGTGCGGGGTAGAATAGACTAAATTACCTTGCGATGGGAGAATAATGTGTGTACTTATTTTTAGCCATTGGCATCGTTCGCACCAGGTCCATGTTAGCTGAACAGCACCTCGCACATTTTGCAAGATTCCAACACTTAACCTCTGGTAGTTGAACATCATCCAGCCCCACACCAGGTCCCAGCGGGGAGCTGCTCTTTGTGTCCCGTGGCCAGGTCTCTACGATGCACTCTGCAATGGCTCGGTATTTGGCAAAGGCCCGGCCGCAGATCGCAGTTAATCGATTTCCGTTGTTGGGTATGGTCAAAACAGGAAAAGCCAAAACGGCGGTCCTCTTGTTGGTTGACACAAGCCGATTTCAAAACCAGTTCCCTGACACGGCACCCACAGCTAATGATTTTAGATGTTGGCTAACCGGGGAGTTGGGGAGCCCACCCAACGACAACAGCCAACAACACCAGCCCAGCTTCCTACAGCCTTGAGGGAGCCAGCCACAGGCTCATATGTCGCGTGTGTGTTCAAGCATTTAAAACCCTACAACTGGATTGTCACGCCGTACACCACAACCTTTGGTCGCTTCTGCCTTTATGTATTTCTGATTCTCCTCCTCAACAGCTAGTGCCAGGTTGAGCAGACCACGGTGTTTGCAAACTTCGACAGCTGATAGCATTGATGGTGGCGCGGCCGACCGTCCATTCTACGAGAATGTCAGCGGCTATTTACCCAAAATCAATGTTCCGACACAAGCCATTGTTCAGGCAACCCTCACGTGGTTTGGATAGAAGGTAGATGACAACCCCCCCCTTAACCACCAAACCCACCAATCCCAACCAACTGAGCTTCCCCCGACGCGATTGGCATGCAGATGTTCACGTCCACCACGCATGAACCAACTCTCGAACGAAAGACGTTTTCACAAAATGGATAAATCCCCCCACTGAAGGCGAAGAGCACCTCTGATTGATCTGGAGGGGTCGTGTGTTGCATCCAGAAAGGACAAGCTTGTGTGGGCCGAATTTTGGGAGATCTGGACAACTCTTGGAGAAGTGGGTTTGTCTCATGGAAACGCGCCGGACATGGATGTGTCTTTAGACCAACCAGTTTTTGTTTTTGCACCAACCACAAAACTGGACCCGACTTTGCAATGTGGATCGGATGGCTCGGAAGTTGTGTTGAGAAGATCGGAGGTCGTTCCTTGAAACTTGGTCAGCCCGGAGGCTGCTGTCGGATGTGTAACCCCTCCAGCTGATTCGCAGGTAGTTACAGGTGGTCCCGCCTGCCGGTGGGTTTCAGTGATTCATTTCAGGGATTCCTTTGACTCGCATCCAGACGAGATTCCTGCGCAGCGCCAGGCCACTTTGAGCGCTTCAGCCGGGGCATCCGCGGGCACGCCGGGGCCCCTTCCAGGCGTTTGAACTCATTTCCTTGCCAAAAGGGGAAGTGCTGCTGATTGGTACAGTCCTCTTGACGAATACGAAGTGAAGATCGTGAGGCGCTGAGGTGTCAAACCTGGGCTGAGCAGTTTATCTCGGGGGATTAAGGTCGCAACCTCACCCATACCCATGATGAATAAGGAACCTTGATTTGGCAGTCCTCGAATTCATGATCGTTTTCTCGCGGCTTGCGTGATTGAATGGAACCCTCATGCGGCCTCTTTGAAGCGGAAACCCGCCTCTTCCCCGAACTATTGCGCCAACCCTTTCCAAATCCGAGGCAAGCCAGCAACCATTTGCGGGGGGGCAAGCTGTTATTTGCGGCTTGTCTAACCATGGCAGGCCAACCCAGCAGGTTCCCGCTGACGAGCGAAGTCTCTCGCTTCACGTGCGAGGTCCATGTGCTTTTGGACAAGAAGACCAAGATCTCCCTGCTGCCGCCCACCAGCGAGGTGGGGAGGTTTCAGCCGTTGGACTCACCGTTTGACCCGTTGCAACCTACTTTTAGCGTCTAGGTTGAGGGCAAGGTTACAGTTGAGATGCGCATCTTATTTTATTGGAGGAGACCGTGGTCCCAAATCGTGGGTGTTTAGTTATGATTTCCTCTTGGATGTTTGATTCAACGGTCCTGAAATATATCGGATTTGAGAGTATTCTCTCTAGAATTGCTTAAAGGGACACCGCAGGGAAGCCACGCCCCCTCCCCCTCCCAACACAAATTCATTTTGGGCAAGCTTTTTCGCCCGAAGCAATCTGAATGGGGCCTCGGGCGAAGGGCTTTGTGCCGTGTGTATTTTGTCGTTGGTGCCGGGGGGGTGGTATGGAGCTTGCGTGTGAGGGGTTCATACTTGTACAGCCTTGCAAGCTTTCATTTGTGCATTGCTTATGAGCCAGGAACCTTACTGGGGGCTGGGGTTACATTTTTTTTCAATACGGGCCCGTTGTCGGCTTCCTTCAAAATGAGGACCTTTCTGGATGTCAAAGGCAACCAACAGGACGCCGACCACCCCGAGGGGTCCTTTATGAGCAAGTGACAACATGATTGGTCCACAGGTTCGGGCAGGACATGTTGTCCAAATCCTGACTCATCCCCCTCCCCTGCCAGCAATTTGGGGGACTCATCCAACTCTCACTTTGATCAAGGAACGACCCCGCCGCAGGTGACTTTTTCAGCCCAGCAAGTGGAAAGAGGGGAGGATGGCGCTGGGTCCCTTAAACTAGGTGCATTTGGAGCGGTTCTCCAAGTTACTTGTGGGGAGTTTTTTTCACTCACGCAACAGAGGGCAACTTGGAGGATGTGACTTTGATGAACCAACCTAGCTTTCCCGGACGGGGATGCGGTGTTGTTGTTTGGGGGGGGGGGCGGGGGTGGCTCGTGTTGACTGTTCACCCTATTCAGTTTCGCTAGTTTCACTCAGGGGCGACGTTGATGGTAACATGGGGCCAGAGGTATGTGGGGATCCCCTTCTTTCGGGGAAGGCAGAAAGGGCCAACCATGGTTCAGCGTGGCCCCTTTTACCCTCCCCCAAAAAACACCTGGAACCTGAGGGTCCTGGAAGACCATTTTCCTTCTAGACTTGACTGCTATTGGGTTGGATCTTCAGACTTTAACTTTTTGGGAAATCATTTTTTCCACTACAAAAAGTTAAACTTTTCGCAGGGTCAACAGCAACCAAGGGACCCCTCCTCAGGTTCGATGCAAAAACCGGGGAGGGTCAATCCGCTTGCGAGGACCTCCGGTGGATTTCCCAGGGCTTCGAAGGCGCCTTCGAGGAGAGGCCCCTGGACCGCCAGAGCTTCCCCAGCATCGCCAAGGCAGGAGGTCCAGGGCGTGTTTTGGGTTGGCTCTTCTGGCGCGCGCAGGGGAGGGGGAAAAGGGGGGAGGGGTCCAATGTTTCTGAAAAGCTTTAAAGGGGGTCCTTCCCTTGGTTGGTTTATAGAGTTCAGGGCTTTCTGATGTGAACACATCTAAGCTTTGTGGTCGACATCAGCTCTTATTCAAGCACCACTTTGCCACACAGAAAGCCCCTCCGAATGCTTGGTGTCCCTTCTGGTTGCCGGTCAACAAACCCCCAGCGGGGATCCTCCAAAAGTTGCACACTCCTGATTGAACAATTCTAAAGATGCAAGTCAGACAAGCGCAAGGTTGTGGACCGCTTGGTTTTCAGGGCCACTTTCGGTGATACAAAGAGAACTGCCCTCTAAAGTGACCAGATCGGCATGGAGATGGGAATCCCCACCAATGGTTATCACACGAAGCGGCCGGCTGATTTCCCACAAGCAATGACAAGGACACCGAAACTTGAGGTGACCGTTGAGCCACAATCAATCGCTGGGTGGACAGTGAGTCCCAACCACAAAAAGATGCAGAAAGAAAGTCGTTATATTGACTCTTTACATGAACACGGTAGGAGGCACCCTCCTCCAACCATGGTTGTCGTTGGGAAACATTTTACATGTTTGCTTCTTGTGGTTTAGTGGGATGTCCCCACTTAATTGCAAAAAAAAAAATGTTTGCTCCCCTTCCAACGTCAACCAAGCAACAGTCATGGAAGTGAATAGGGGGTTGGATCACTTCCATGATTGTTGGACTGGGGGGGGTAGGTTTTGGGATATCAGGTCTTGACTTCGGACGTATCCTGGGCTTTGGGCTTTGGGGCGATCAGCTAGCCGCCGCAGTTGGTGCTGCTGCGGCGGGTGGTGCGCACGCTGATTGAGTATGCCAGGGCGCCAAGATTCGAGGGAACTGGGCCCAACCCAACCACAAACCCGCCCTAAGCCAACCTCAGCGGCCCAGAAAGCCAACCTACAACCACCCTGAATCAACCTCAACCACCATGAAACAACCGACGGCCACCCTAAACCAGCGTAAAACCCTTTGCTTTGTTCCGCTTGTACGTCATGTCCCGCCCAACTGGCGCAACAATATCTGCTACAGGCAGGATTTGGCACGACCCAACTTGATTCTGCCCTCTTGCACTTCCCAAGCTTTGGTGGTCGCAGACAAGGGAGCCTAGCAAAGAAACCCGGATGCATTCATAAGGCCTGGAAGATGTTTGAGGAGCCGTGTGGTCTGGCTAGGATCGATGCATGGTGGGGCACTTTTCTCCGAAAATTCTCAGGAGAAAGGGGCCGAAGCCAGTGAATGAGCGCATTTCACGAAGATTGCGATGCAATCTCGGGCCGTGAATGACGTCGGGACAAAGGTGGCCTCAACGAGTCGGCATTTGGCTGTGCACCAGGCATTTGATGCCAGGCAGGACGTTCTTGTCGTTTGAGTGCCCTGCTTGTGTCGCTTTTCAGAGGGGCACCATAGGCCGGACTTCGGGTGAGGGCTCGAAGCTTTGAGCGCTCTGCTGTCTTTCTGAGGATAGGGCCATTCTCGCAATACGTCAAGTTTTTTCAACATCATTCAAGTTGATTTGGGGGTGAACTTGGGACGCATAGTGTTTGGATTTTCGGTTGATGTCCAGCAATAATGCTGAGATGTCAACTGTCAGGAGCAAATGTCTTAGAGTTCTCTAGCCATGCAGACATGTACCGACCAACCAACCAGCCAGCTAGCCAGCCAGCCAAGCAACCAGTTTAGCGTCCCTCTTCTTCCGGGAATGTGTTAAGGGTTTTGAATGCAACAGAAGTATTTAGAAAGAAACATACTGTTTCTGAATGAACGCATAGTTGCTTGAATGTGTTGGAATGCACCAGCTTGTGTGATGAGTAGCCCTTAGATCGGTAGCCCTGGCATCATAAATGACGCCCGGCCACTGAGGTTGGCATTGAGCAGCTCAAGGCCCTGAGACCGCGTGTTTTGGGTCGCCTGTGATGGCCGGTTGGGGGTGGTGTGGTTCTGGGATCGTTGGGTGGCGTGGGTGGCTTGGGCGACTCCAGTGCGACTCAACTGGATTAAACTCATCATCTAACCATCTAGTCATGTAGTCCAGCAATAAGCAGCATGGCTCACCATCCTGGCCTTTTCAACGACCTTGCCAATCATTTGTCACGTGATTTTTCCTAACCTTTGGATGCGTTTCATGTTGGTGAACAATTAGATGGGTTCGGGTTCCCAGACATTGGCAAACCACCAAACACAAACAAACCACATCCACAAACCACAAACCACAAAACTGCTGGACATCCCACAGCCACAGCCCCCACACCACGCAAAAACTCACCTCCAGGCGTCAAATGCTGCCAGGCGGGGGTGGCGGCTCCGCTAGTGGTGGACCTGGCTGTGGAGATCGCGGGGCGCGCGCCCTTTCGGCTCCACACGGCCGGGTCCCGAGTGAGGGGAGGGGTGGGGGGGTCGGTTTGGTTGGTTGGTCGGTCGGTTGGGTGGTTGGTTTCTTACTTACTGCAACCAGTAGAAGCCATGATGTAAAACATGGCCGGCTGGGTGGGGTGGCGGGGCGTGGCAGGGTGGCCTTTGAAGCGGTAGCTGCGTTTTGGACTTTGGGCAACCCACTCCCTATGCCCAACAGAGAAATCGTCAATCAAGACTTATGTGATAGGGACCTGGCACATTGCGAGCTGCCTTTGCACAAGAAAGGCTTTCAAAGCAAAATGCCTTCTGTTTGCTGCGTTGCAAGCTTCTGGGTGAAAGAGAACAAATTACAGCAACCGAACTGCCAACGAAAGAAACTTTCATGAGTGAGGTCGCGATGATTTGCCCAGATGCCAGGTGCAGAGATGCCGTACTTGAGGCCCTGCAAAAGCACAGTGACACAAACATCCTTTGCTGCCCAGCCAGGGGGGCCTGGAAGATCAACCAAAACAGAAAGAATGTTTTATTATCAGTTTTATCCATCCCCTTTTAGCCTCCTTTAAGGGAAACTAAGCAATTAGCATGCCAGGGGTAGCGTTGAACCCTCCAGACCCCCCCGAGTGGATCGCTCAAAGCTTCATGGCGAACCAAGAAACGCCTCGAGGTGGCACCGTGTTCAGCTCCAAGCTTAAAGAGCCAGGGGCCAAGTGCGAGTCGTTGTGCAGTGAGACAGTGCCGACAGGTTGGTATGTCCTTTTTGTACGATGTAGAACGAGCAGGACACCGAGGGGAAAGCAACCATTCGGACATGTTTTCTGATTTGACACATGTTCCAGTATCTTGGCAGCCTTGGACACCGTTTTGCAGTTTCCCGTCTCTTGGCCAAGGTGGAGAACGCTTAGATCTCATCGCCGAGTGAGAGCTCAAGTCGCGCAAAGGCTCCGCGACAGAGGAATTCGGGTCGTTTGAATGCTCGTACACCGGAGAACCCGTTCGTATTTGCGGATGGGTTGGCATAGGTCAGCTGGGTCCCATCACAGAGAAGATGTCCAGTCAACAGCAAATAGATGCGGGTTCTTGGATAGGCGCCCTGTTTCATTTGATCGGCAGTATCGACAGGAAGTGCTTGCGAACAGAAACAAGTGGCAGATAGCTTGTGCCTCAGTTGCTTGCTGCGCTATGCAGCTCCACTCGGGTTGATGCGGAAACTGGAGAGGCGGTCCCTGGCACGGCTATGAGGGTCGGGACCCCAAATGGCTTTGACAGGAAACCAGCATGACACAGTTGCCTTTTATTGCGCTGGGAAAGTCAAAAAGACGCGCTGGTCCAATCGCTTATGACTTCGTAGGTCGAAGCCTTGATTTCGGCGACTCCTGGGTTCATTCCCCCATTCCCTGCTGAGCACCAGCAAGAGAAGCTTCACAAGCTGCCTTGGCACCCGGGAGAGCTTGGGAGCTAAGAAGCTTCAGGGCTTGACGGAGATGACCTCCACAGTAGGTCTCGTTGGGCGCCGAGCCGGTCTGAATACAGCCTGACCAAGGAGCACAACCATGAACCATGTTCATGGTCAAGTCGTTGGGTAAGTTCCGTGGCCAGGGTAGCCAACACCCAAAGTTTGATTATTTTGCCAAGAAAGTTGTGTGTGTTTGACAACAGCAGCTGTCAATTTGTCTGGCAGAAAGTGCTCGTTTTCGTACAAGCTAAACCGGGAGTGATGTTGGTGAGCATCTATGACTGTTTTGCGGGCATTTGTTTTTACTCACTTGTGTGTTGTACATGTTCTGATACATGTCACCATTGTGTTTGCACACGTCCAACTTGAAGCGTTTGGGTTTTGAAGCCAATATTGCTCAGGATTTGGGGGTTCACCACAGGGGCATCGCCGCACCCCGCTTGGATCGATTGTTTCGGAGTGCGGGGGGAGCGCTCCCGCAGCCATCCATGGTTGGCGGGGGGCCCCAGTCAGGTGGAGGTGAAATATTCAGTGCGCCCTATGGCAGACAGCCCTCTTTAGAGTTGTCTGAACACGGGCCATAATTTAAACATTTAACTTTCAGTTGGTGCCAACAAGCTGAGGTAGAAGTGGCAGCCTGTCAAAGCTGTCACGTGCCGCGCAGTCTGTAGACACAGCTTTGACCTCGACCATGCCCAAATGCGCCGAATCCCAGCCCCAGTTGGTGTGCTGCGCCAAGGCATGTGAACAAAGGGCCCCCAATTGGAAAGCATGTCAAGATGCAGATTGGGGGAATGCGAAGTCAAAGCGTCCAAACGCTGCGAGCAGCGGAGCTGGCCCTTAAAATTCTGCTCAGGTGGCGGCCAATGAAGAAGGCAGGGACGGCGCTGGGCATCAATGTTTAACCCGGATGAATCGAGCTGGTGGATTTGCAGTGGGGTGGATCCCCAAAAGTGAAGGAATCCCTCCTTGTTGGGGAGTTTCCTACAAAAAAGGTGGCTGCCGTACGTTGACTCCAGAGGCCCCAGCTTGGCTGTTTCAGGCTTCCGGTAGGCAGTCACTAACGCTTCGGTCATCCAACCTTGCCATGGTGATCCCGAGCCGCTGCGCAAAGGTGCCGTGATGAGGCTGTGCCACCTCCTGATTTGTGCCGGAAGCCTTGGAGAGGGAGCCCGGGTTCTTTGTTTGGAAACATCTCTTGTTGCCATGCGGATATCTCTCGAGAATCTCTTCCAGTGAGGTGATGCTCCGAAGAGTTCCTGTTTGTAACCGGGCGGAGCCTTCACGCTGCAAGGCCATGTCCGATCAAGCATGTGCAGCGGCGAATGGAAGACGTTTCTGCATGGTAGGCGGAGCAAGGGCGGCTCTGAGGTGCAAGTACTTACACTTACAATGCAACATCACTGCATACTTTATTTTGAGCTGAAGCGATGAGCGCAGATCCTTCCTTGGGCACTCCAGGGCCTTTGTAGAGGAGCACTTAGGTTTCATCCAACCAGGCCTTGTGCCTGTTTGAGCCCAGGTGACACTTGGCAGCGCTGCCAAATGGCACCAGGCGGGGTGCTGTTGCCTTTTCCGCCGCGTAGCAACCCTGTCGTCGGAGTATTGCCCGCTTTCGAATGAAGGAGCAGGCCGTATGCTTGATGTGTTTGACAGATCACAGTGCGTTTTGCTTTGCTAAGTATGTTGTTGTTGAAGTGCATGACGTGTTTAAAGCTTCTTTTTCTTTTCTTTTTTTTTTGGGGGGGGGGCAGGTAGACACCCAGCAGGGTAGGTCTATGTCATCATGCCACCGGCTGAAGTAGATTGCTCTGTCCCTTGCAATCGGCTCAAGACCCGAGTTCTTCAAAAGAGGCTCACAAAAAGTTGTTCAGTTTCCGACATCATCGCCTGAACCTCTCGGCTCGTAAGTGCCGATAAGTGATCTTATTTGACCCCCTTCGAAGTAGAGCCAGGGTTCTAAAAACAGGCATGACTTGAGGCCTTTCCAGGCAGTCCTTTGGAGGCACCTGTTGTCAGTTAGGTTCCAGTTAGGTTCCATTTTGGTGAGAGGAAGAGTAGTGAACTGAATCATTCACTGACACAGGATCTCCTACTGGGAGCACCTGCAAGAATGGGAGGAATCGTGGGTTGGCTAATGCTGGATATGGGAGACGAAAGTACAGTACAAAGCGCAGTTGATGGACGTAAGGTCCCTGGCAGGATTTGGTTTGGCGCATTTGGGCCAATAGACGTCGGTTGGGACGGGATGCTCAGCAAGCAGCACGAAGAAACAGGCATCCACGCAAAGGAAGGAGCTGGGCAGTTCTTCTAAACTGTTTATTGTTTTCGGCGCAGAGTCGAATAGACCGCTAAACAGCTGTTGTCATTCCCAGGGCAACCTGAACACATACGCTTATGCGTTGATGCACATTGCCTTCGGCTCTCCGGATTCTTAGAGCAGGGAAAGCGGCCAGGTCCTGGCGAGACATATGGCCGTGGTCAAAACAATCATACCATTTTGGGGGAGGTGAATTCACCACCCATTTTAGAACCTATTTTAAGTGGGGCTTGGGATGTTCACTGGGGGGACGGGATTTTGACCCAGGGTTATGATGTATGAGACATGGGGGGGCTGTACAGTTTGCTTTCTGGATTCGTTTGTTGTTTGCTATCGAGTCCTGTAAGGTTTTGACATATATCATATCTCGAAGATGGCTCCGGTGCTTTCCATGAGAAGCAGGTTGGCGCAGCTGTGGCCTTTTGCACGCACACTCGCTGCCTAGTTTTTGTATGTGCCAACGGGCCAAGCACAGGCGAAGCCTGGCGAGGCTTCCTTCTCTGCCAACCTGTCGCACCATGAGGCAGGAGGGAGAATGCCTGCCTCTCTCCTCGTGGGGGCCAGCTTGATCGAACCGCATTTGCACACAAGCTTACATCTATGCACATATGAAGCGGCCACGAATTTTAAAGAACTTCCAGCAAGACGCTTGGTGAACAGGAATTCCCGCGTAAATGATATCCAGCAAGGGACCGGTCACCAATCAAAGTCCACATTTTGGGGGCCTAAGGAAGGCCGCCGTTCTCTTGCTTCTGCACGACGTCGTTTGCGCGATTGGCCGCGAATTGACTTCCCAGAATCCACCCAACCGGAGTGGGAGAAGCCACCGAAAGCTCAAAGGGATCCCTTAGTCCCTTGGTGGCCCCTCTGGTGAGCCGTGGCTTGTAAGAGAAAGGGAAGGGGTTCACAGTTGTGGCCTCCTCAGGCGCGTTGGGCTGACGGGGCTCAATTGGACACTTGCCAAATGGTCAACTGCATCTCAACATAGCTTAGAACCTGAGACTCAGTATGATCCTGGTCACCGACATATTGCATGCTAAAGCAAAACCTCAGGCCGCCCATGTGGGAGCACAAGCTCTCATGGCAGCGTCCTAGACTTTGCCTTTTCTACACATGTTTTCGACAACACCTTTTGAGGCCATTTTCTGTGGGTTTTCTTTTGGTGGTGCAATGTCTAAAGGAGAAATAGAGGAAACCATGTTTCATTTCAGCCAGCCGGCTTCAGGTGAATGGGACTGCGCTGGACGTTCGTCCTGCGCCGATTGGGGAGCACAAGGCCGGGAGTTGAGAGTTGGATGTGGGAAGACTGAGGGCGGGGCTTTTCGGCTGTTCGGCGTTTCGGAGATTCTTTCAGGGACCGGGTTCACGGGTGGACGGAGCCAGGCAGCTGGGAGAATAACATGGTGGACGTGCAGAGTCAGAGTTAGCTATCATCATTTTGCTGAGTGCGCGCTTGCGCAATTTGTTGCTAAAAAGTCAAAGCCCGGGATTACCAATTTGGGTGTCCCCAAAATTGGGGGGGGGGGGCACCCCTTTTTGGATGGTTTTCAAAAGAAGCCGCAAGGGCACCAAGCAACCAGATCCAACCGGTTTGTACCCCCGAACTTTGGAACACAACCACATCATTTGCGAGGACCTGAGCATTGACAAGCACATATAAGGGGGGTCTCCGAGATTGTTTAACTGCTGTAGGTGCTCCTGACTGACATGTGCTGCCTAAAGTAGCGGTTCAAGGGAAATTAGGTTCGGATCTTCGACAAGAGGCCTCCGTTCGCATCTGAAGGTTTCTGCTGGAGGTGTTGCTTTGCGCTCAGGCAGACATCCCAAAGGAAACCAATTGGGAATCAACTGTGTTCTACGAAGAATCTGAATGGGTGGGGGGGGGGGGGGCGGTTTTTGGATGCCCTCATGTCCTCATGTGTAAACGCATATTGCCATGTCGGGCCGCAGTGTGAGGAAACCAGTTGAAAGGTTTGCTACTCGGTTATGCGCGTAGTGTGGGCAAACAAGCCATCAGCACGGGTGCGTGAGAGCCGCACGGGCCGTGGCCGCAGGCGAACAGTACGCTGCTCAACACATCGCTCCAGGTGGGTCGGCCAAGTGCAGCTGCCGTAGCGGGATTTGGGTCGCGAGGCTGTTCAAATCCCGAAGTCTTTCCTGGGATTGTGAAAGGGTCGCCTTTGTAGTGGTTGACCAAAGGGGACTTTGATTCGGATTGGCCAACCCTGCATTTGGAACAGCCCGGTCTGGGTGCTAGGCAGCCCAGCATACAAACAAGGTCATGGGTTTTGCTCAATCTTTCCAGACGCCCCCCCTCCCCCCCCCCCCCGGGTGGACCACCCAGAGATGCGGCATCATTTGTTTGGGTGTGGGGCAAACCATTGTTTGACCACTCTGTTTGTGAACATGTTTGCAAGGCCCAAGGCATCCGTTCAACAACAGAAAGGTGTCTTGTTTCTCTTCGCACGTTTGCAATTGGTGTTCTCATATTTGCACATGTATTTGGTGCAACTTGCAGCTGTGGTGTCTCTTCCAAGTGAGGTCTGTGGGAGTGGATGTGTGCAAGTGTTTAAGTTCTCCTAGACACTTAGCTCCGCGCAAGTTGGTCTCGAGCAAGTTCTGTGTGATGAGATCAGCGCGCGCTGAAAGCAAACCCTGTGCAAGGAGTTCTGCGTAGCTTGTCTCAGCACACGTGAGCGCTGTGCAACTTCAAAAGCGTGTGTAGTGTTCCTGTGGCTTTGCTGAAGAACCCTTCGTTATCCTTTTGGGAACACTCGTACTGGGGTGCTCTTTGATGTGACATGTCGGAAAAAGCCAGTGTCCCCTCCTACCATCGGAGTTTTTTAACTTGCTACAGGGGAATTCCAGCAGAACCAGATCTCAAAACCAGGGCCCGAACGTCGCCCAAGCCAAAGTTCGTCCGGGCTTTTCGGCTTCCCCTTCATCCAACCAACGAGTGGGTCCGCGGAAGTCAGGAGTCCGTGAAGCTGGCGCTGAAGCAGCCCAGGCACCTCCGCTACGCACCTTTTTTTTGGCACGGAAGGAACCCCATCTTGAGAGAGGGTAAAGGACCCCCCTTGGCTTGCCAATTTGCAGAGGAATGGTCATGTGAGCAGTTTGAACTGCTTGGACTTCATCATGAATAAGAAAGGAAAAGGCACCATGGGCTGTGGGGGAGTGAAGGGTCATAGCTTGCTCCAAATAGTGTCCTTCGATTTTACTGATGGCAAATCCAAATCCATAATGACTCCTTGTGATTGAGGCTCTTCAGCAGGGCTCCTTAAAAGATACATTTTGCCCATTTGAAACATTGCTTTTCCACCAAAATAAAGGGAAACCACTATTTACAAGGCAATGTTCAGGTGTTTAATGTAAGGATCCCTGATCAGCCACCATCCAAACAGGGGCAACCAACCTGAGACGCACGCTCCGGCCAGCTACTTCCTCGGCCTATGCAAAGCTCTGTGCGTGCCGACCTCGGCCAAGCGGAGAAAACGAAGGGACTGATGCGGGCATGGGTCAGAATTTAACCAGGGGACCGCAGGTTTTGGTCCTTGGTTCCATGTACCAGGGTTCCATTTTTGGGTTACCCCATTTTTGACCCACAGCCATGCATCCTGTGTAATGCTCTCTGAATGACTAGCAACTCCACTCCGCATGTCGTTAGAGGAAACCCTTTCTCGTGTCCGTCATGCTGAATCGTTCATGTGAGGTGAACCACGCCACCCCTTCTCGTTTAATCTTGGTGGTTCCCAGCCATCCCCTTAGCTTTTTAGCCTTTTGGTGTTGAGTGGGGATTTCTATGTAACCCACTAATTAAAAGTTAAACTTTTAGCGGGGGATCTGAGGACAGCCCAGGTTTCCAGAAGAATTTCGAAGATACGCCGACCATCGGACGCGACGAAAGGGTCAAAGGCCCACAAGAAGACGAGGCCTGCATCGCCGCCTTGGTGGGCGTGGGCTGCTTCGTAGCCTGCGCTCCGTGTGGGGCCATAGCATGGGCTTGGGGTAAACCGCAGCAGACCTGTGGATGGACGAAATCCGTTTCACACTACCTAAGAAACCCCGCTTTCTGACGATTCCCCTGCAAATGCCAACAAACAATGGTTCCCATGGCTTCAAAGTGGTGCAGGATTCCGTCCATTGACAGTAGGGATCCAGGTCTGTGTTTGGGACGGGGTATTTCTGTTTGGGGTCAGGCCTCTTTTTTTTTGCGCAGGAGCGGACAGCGAGTTGGGAGGCTAGACCCAAAAGAGTAAACCCAGGTATATGCCACTTGCCATAGGGGAACAAGAAGCAACCATGGCATTTCGTTTGTTTCATTTGACACATGGGTGATTGCCAAAAATATGGCCCCCTTTTTGGGACCTTGGTGCTGCCTTGTGCTGCCTTTTGGAAGGGCCGCCAAGAAGATGCCTCCTTGAATTGGGTAGCTTGTCCTCATCTTGAGAAGACTTAGAGAAGCATTGGTTCACACACACACACACCCAAACGCAACTCCTGTACGGAAGGCCAACAGGTGCTTGCGGGCAAGTATTGTGCCTAGCTCCAGATGTCGTGCCAGTGCCCAGGCTCGGCAACATCTAATGGTAAGGTGTATTGTAGGATCATAGGAAACAAGCGAGCCAGCAACTTGGTGATCCTTCGGGTGGACTTTCAGATCTGCACTTTGCCTCGGGCAGATTGCCATAGGCTAGCTGATGCGACAAGCGCAGTGGAGCGACCACTCAGTTGTTGAAAAATTGCTGCCCACTGTGGCTGCCAGCCAAAAGAAACCTCCGACTTTGAATTTGTTCGCTTCTTATCCGCTTCAGAGCACGCGATTCTCCAAACACTTGAGAAGAACGATTGCAAATCTCGCTGAAAGATACAGCTGCCTTTAGTGCAGCCTTTCCCAACTCTCCATTGAGAGGTGCTGGTTCCTGAAGGGAAACGTCAACTCGTGGGAGGTTCGGTCAAACGCATCCAGCAGCCTATCGCCCATTTTGGAGGGGCACGGAGTCACACAGTTCTCCATTCCAAGCAGAGTAAGAGTCAAAATTGACAGTTCATGTCTTGGTCCAACAGATGCACCCGAAGCGCTAAGCCATCGTCCTCTGAGGATACTGCTGTCGATCATCAAGCGCAATCGTGCCAGCTGACGCGAGTTGGAAAAGGATTTGCTTTGGGTCTCCGTTTCAAACAAGCCAAGGGGTTCCTAAAAAGTTGATGCCTCACCAAATGTCAGAAACCTGCCGCATGACGTGGTTTCGTCATATGTTGCCCCTCTTGGGAGTTTGGTTTCTGCGGTTGGCGGCTGGTTGCTCCTCAAGGAATGCGGGTTGGGGCCTGGCGTTGGGCATTCTTGCAGGGTTGGCGTTTGGCTTGCAGGCTTGTCAGCATAGGTGCGCGGATATGAAATGAAGTCGTGGGACCCTTTGGTGGACACAATTTACCTTGGGATTTATGTCCACCAGCAATTTTGTGCCTGTTGCCTATTCCATTTCGTAGCCACTGGTCTTTGTGGGAAACTAGCGAGTCCCAGGCACATCCCTCCCAACTTAAGCCTTAAGCAGAGAGCAAGCAAGAAATTCGGATCGAACTTCACGTCGTTTTGTCTCCAAAAAGGGAGAACCTCAAAAATGAGTGAGTTTTGTTTGGCTTCTCTTTGAAACAACCCCAGAAAGACAAAAGACTAATCCATCGAACAATACATCGCTCTATGGAATCCAGTCCGCTATTCAGCGCAGAGATCCAGATTGCCGTTTGAGAAAACAGGCTGCACAGCGGCGAGACAAAGCGGACATAGCCGCAAGTAATGTCCAGCAAAGGGACATCTGTGGCAAAGATCGCGCACCCGCAAACAGGTGTTCGAATTGGCGAGCTTCTGTGTGGGTCATTCAGTTGTGTGGGTCATTCAGTTGTTTGTGACTGACAAGATCATAATCGGACGTGTTTGTTCCTTTGGGAAGGCATGGAGGATCCACCCAATCTCGTCACAAGGTTCTTGGCTACCAAGTTTGTTCATGTCCGCGGCTCCTTTATTACAGTCACACCATAGGTTTGTTTGTTGTAGGTCTCTTTTTGATCGGCAAATGGAAAGGACTTGACCAACTTTAAGGCAAGTCCAAAACCATTCCAAAATGGATCTGCAAAGGAATTGTATTGGAACGGTTTCTGTGACACCCTGTTTCTAGTGGTAACCTCCCCATTCCGTTCAGGGATCCTTTTTCAGAAAGCCTGAGAGAACTTCACGCTTGAGCCAAAAACGATGCATGAACAAAATTGAGAATCTACCTTTGGATTGTCATGACATCTTCCAAAGCCCCAGCCCCGATGTGCCGGAGCATCAATCACTTCCGAAGGGTTCCGGGATTCAGCGGCTTCGCGCGTCACGCATTGATTCATGGCTCGTAGAGAGGGAGTAGCGTGCTATTGCGCGCAGAGGCGAGCATGAGAACGAGTGGCGCCACTGCGGGGCAGGCGGCATCACGCGCCAACAAGACAGAGGGCACAGCGTAGAGCGCAGCACACTCGCAGATGACATCAGCCGACATGAGAGCGGCTTGCATTCCAGTCAACAACTTTGGGACGCTTACTTGCGGTGATTGGCCCTCTCCCGCCCGAATCAAGAAAGCAAAAAGTGGAGAGCCAACGGGAACTTTGAGCAATCAAATTCAGCATACTGCAGGTTGCCCTTCACATATTCTGCGCTAATTCACCCAGTTGGAGCTATAGCCGGCAATAGAGGCCGGTAACTCACTGGGCGACGTTGCCTCCTGCGGAGGGTCTTGCTGGGCAACCAATACGAGAGTTCCCAGCAAGACATTGTCGGATGGAGCTTGCATATCAATCGGGAGTGTAATTCACAAGGGGGGAACTGCAGAGTCTCGCACGGGCAAGTTCAGGGGTGATTCACCGTGGTAGCGCTGTGCGGGTGGAAAGTAGGGAGAAACTGCTTGCAAGCTGCTAACAATTGACCCCTGTCAGGTTCATGTTAAGTTTGCACATACATGTACACCAACACCCAAGCCAAAGCAAATGCCAACACAAGCATCAAGCAACCACCAAGAACAGCAATAGCCGCACAACTCACGCACAGATCAACACATACAGAAACGCAGACACACACACAGACACACACACAAACACACACACACACACAAACACAAACACAAACACAAACACAAACACAAACACAAACACAAACACAAACACACACACACACAAACACAAACACACACACACAAACACAAACACAAACACAAACACAAACACAAACACAAACACAAACACAAGCACGCACACAAACACCAACACAAACACAAACACAAACGCAAACGCAAACGCAAACACAAACGCAAACGCAAACGCAAACGCAAACGCAAACGCAAACGCAAACGCAAACACAAACACAAACACAAACACACGCAACCACACACAAACACACACACAAACACACGCGCACACAAACACGCACACAAACACGCACACACACTTGAACTCCAGATGGAGGGTGCTAATCTTTCGAGTACAACTGATGAGTCTCGAGTACAACTGATGAGTCTCGAGTACAACTGGAATGGAGGAAGTCAATTATCGGCTTGCAGTTCACTTGGCTTCCCTGTAGTTACTTCAACAGGGAAACAGGGAAGCAACAGCGGTTCAGGGGGGGGACCAAAAGGACGTTCGGAGCATCACGACTTTCTCAAAGTGCAGGTACGTCCAGAAGGCGTCCCTTCCGGATTTCACGATCAAACCATCACTGTCTTCGTTGGGCAGTGAGTGATGGCGATCCACTGCCCCCCTGCTGCAACGGAAAAGGTTTTGGTGGCAGGGTTCTCTGCCACTCCGCACACACACGCCCCTCTATGAGGGGCGAGGTTTCTCTTTTCCTGCAGGAAGATCACACGCTCCAACCCGAATCTTTATCGTTGACCAAAATATCCACCACGGCGAGGGGAGCGAGACACAGCCCTAAACCGCTCAGAAGACGGGAACGAGAGATCACCACGTTGAGCGTTGCGAGTGTCGCCATAGAGGACTGAAGCGATTTGCGAAGCAGCTTGACGATCACCATGCGAAAACGGGGTGGCGTAGGTGAACGTCTCCTCAACTGGAACGGCATCGGAGTTTCGAACTTGACCAAGAGATGGATCATGCGGATAATGAGTTGCGAAGGACTCTATCCGAGACAGAATGCGCTGGTATCCTTGATGTTGCCAGTCACGGATGTCCCATGCCTGGACAGGCTCATTGGGATCAGTCACCCGCTGCCATTCCCGAAAAGAATTTTCAGGTAGATCAGGTACAGCGTCACCGCGGTGCCATCGTTGAGGCTGTCCTGGGGTGTATATCCGCACCCACTCCTGTTCCTGCCAAACCGAATATTCTAGCCATGGGTGCGGCTTCGAATCATCGATGTCCATGTCGAAGTGAGGGGCAAGGATTGTCGCGGGCTCCGATCCAGCTGATAGATGTACAGGTACCATGCACAACCATGTTCAAACAACAACCAAGCAAGAACATGCACGTGTAGAGACCACCCTTATTTTGTATGCTGCGCCTCTCATGCGAGTCTAGTCCTCATTCAGCTCGAAGATGGGACTCACCTTGTGCCTGCCGGTGTCGGAAGGATCCGCGGTCCGATAGGGCTCGGCGACCCCAACCGTCACCGATGGCGTATTTCCACGTGACGCACGTACTGGTTGATGAGGTTGGGAAGCGTGACGTGCGCGTGCTGTCAGTTGTTGAGAAATCCCCTCCTGGAGACGAGTCAGTTCTTCAGTAGAGAAATCAGCCGCATCCGAGGACCTGAGAATCGCGTCTAATAGCTCCGGTGACATACTCAATGCCGCAGACTGCGTGGCCACGTTGTGATGATCAGGAAAATACATGGAATCAAATTCATGACCAGCGTGAGGGGCAGCGATTCTCCGATAGCCCTCGGTGGTCCAATCTCGTTTGTACCACGTGGTGACTTGGACCTGTCCACCGACTGAGTCCTGGTTGGGAGCATAGAACTCCCGCCATTCTCGATACGTATGCGGAGGAGGTGGAGCATCATGTTCATCATGTGGTGTCCATGATCCCGGATGAAATATTTTGACCCACTGGGCATCTGGTTGTTGAGGATCCGGACACCATTCCAGCCACGCCATGACAACGCAACCACGGAAGGACAAATTGATGGGTGTACGGCTGCAGACAACAATGAGTGAAAGCCAAACAACTATCACAATGCAAAAGACCACTTTTGTAGCACTGCGCGGCTCCAGCATCGAAGACAATCTCCCGAATCGAATTGAACTAAAAAGACTCCCTGGGAGGCGAGGACGAGCATCAACCATCATGTGAATTAGATGATGTCGAGGAAGAAGTCAGTCCAGCACACATGAGGTCCGGTGCACCCGAGGCGAAAACTGGCCTCGCGATGCTGGGGTGCGGCCGACCCAGACGTTGGTATCCCCGGTGACCCAGTCCCTGTAATACCAGGTATAGAAGGTGGCATAGGATACCGGTTGTGAAACAGCGCCCGTGCTGGTGCCGCCCGTACTGTCGCTAGGCCAATACACCTCGAAGTGGTGGACCTTGCGCCATTCCCGATAGGTGGTTGAGTCATCCGGAGCCGGTCCCAGGGTGTTCGCGGCGACTGGATGCCACGGACCCGGTGTGTAGATCCGAATCCATTCCACTCTCGTATTTGCTGGCCCATTGACGATGTCGTAGTCAAAGTAGTGAGGCAGGGCCCATCGTGCTGCACCATACACTGTACAGTTGAACATTGCAACCCGGCAAGCCACTCAAAGGCATAAAGGAAAGCGGCGAACACATAGAGACGGAACGTACACCACCAAGCAAGAAAACCCTACATGGACACTCATACAAAGCAAGCACAACCGCAGCATTTATCCGACATGCTACTCAAGCGTCAATCCGAATCATTCCAAGGATCATGGAATGGTGGCGGTGACGGTTCCCGCCACGCCCCATCCGGTACCGATGAGCCCACCGAGGAATTAGCGTCTGCATTCACGAGCATCGCGAACCCGATGGATTGTACAGGAGGTCCAAGTCGTTGATAGCCTCGAGTTTGCCAGTCCCGGTACTCCCACACATGGTACGACACATAGGAACTGGGCGTGACTATGGGATCCATTGTGGTGCCTCCGGTGCTGTCTTCAGACCAGTACACCTGAAAGTGATATGATCTGCGCCACTCCCGATACGTAGAAGCGTGGAGTGGGTCAGGAACTGGGGCATCAACAGGAACGGGTCTCCAAATGCCCGGAGTGTAAATTCGAATCCATTCCACTCCTCTATCGATCTGGTACTCGAAATACTGGGGATTCATAGCGGCAAGACCGGATCACTTGCGACAGCTAAAACCAGTTGAAAGTCTGCGGCAAAGACACACATGCATGGCAAACGCGCACATCAGCAAGAAAGTGAGGCAACTTTTCAAACTCAAGGTGAAACACTGCAACGAGGTCTGTAATGTCCGACTCCTAGGTTTCACTGTCGCTGATGTCGCGCACACCGGCAATGATAGTGGCCTGGTCGTATACGAGCACAAGGGGAAAGACATTTCCGCCCATGGCGCAGGATGGCATGACAGTAGTGTTTGCAAGTTGCCGATGGGGACCGCGATGCACGGCCAGCACGTTTGGAAGGGAATACTGTAAAGGGCCGTCGAGATCGCCGCGGCGCCGTAGCGGATGCTGTCCTAGATCGTTTGGACGAGCGCCCTGGACTGCGTAGTTCTTCATCACGGGAGTGGTCAGTGCTGTAGATCGAGCGGCGTGTGCGCTGCGATTTTGAAGAGGTAGGGCAGGATTGTCCGCGAGGAGCTGAGATCGAGTGTTTGCGTACCGAGGGCATAAACTGTGGGTGTAGAATCACCGGTGGTGGTGGTGGTGGAGGAGGAGGAGGTGGAAGAAGCAATGGGAAGCTTGGCGGGGGCGGAGTTGACGTAGTCTGCCGAATGGGTCTGTCGAGTAAAGTCCCAGGTCCATGAAATTGTAACCACGTCGGCCGTGCTCCATGGGTCCAGGTAATGTACGTCTGTACAACTTGTTCCGACATGATTTGAGCAACTCAGTAATGACTTCACATCTTGCAAACGACAAAACCGGCAAGCAAAGGAAAGTCACATGCAAGCAAGCAGACATCATGTGATCAACAACAGGAGCCGAACACGCCGTCACGGTCTTCCATTTAGTCCTCCGATGGTCGCTGCCGCTTTTGTCGACCGCGTTCCTAGCCGCGAGCCTCAAGTTGTTGATAGATTTTCCATGCCTGCTTGACTTCCTCAATGGGCTTCTGCAGAAACCGAGCAATGGTCTTATAGGTGGGCCTGGAATCCTTGTCTTTCTTCCGTCGCACCATCTCATCCAGCTCACCCTGTGTCCATGCCGTGAAAGGTTCACGGTATGCATTGCGAAGTGCAATAGTGAATTCTTGTAGAAGTTCCCGAGGACCATGAACCACCGTAGGCGATGGCCGGAACGACGAAGCACCCGGATGCGGACGCACCGAGCCATCAGAATCCGAATCAGGTGTCGTAGGCGACGTCTGTCCTGGCTCTCGGCCACCGTGTGTGGCAAAGGGATCAAGCGGACGAGGTGGTGGAAGTCGATCCAACATGGATTCGGGCCGTGTGCCAGGATTGTGGTCACTAGCATCCCGATGTGCTCGTCGAGGCGGGGATAAGGCCGGTATGAACCAGGTAGATGACGTGTCCACAGGTC